TAATTATTTCGTTAAAACTGAAAAATTAAGTTTTATTTGGAAGATAAAAGAATTAAAAAGAAAAAAATAATTGATTTTTTTTTTAAGAAAAAAACGCATTTGTTAACACATACATTTAATCTCCGTTTAATTATTTTCAATATTTATTTAGATTATTCGATGTCTCTATTATATAGTTCTCAAAATGAGTTTCGAGAGAATGTAAAACATTTATCAATTCGACTATCGTACAATCATCGATGAATTTTTAAAGTTAGCTTGTTATCGAAAATTTAGAAATAGTAATAAAATAATTGATTTTTTTAAGAAAAACGATTTATGCGTATTTTTTAACACATACGTTTAATGTCCGTTTAACCATTTTTGATATCTATTTAGATCATTCGATGTCTCTACGATATAGTTTTCAAAATGAGTTTCAAGAGAATGTAAAACATTTATCGATTCACTATCGTACAATCGTCAATAAATTTTTAAAATTAGCTTGTTATCGAAAATTTCGAAATATAGTTTGAAAATGCCTACTTTGAAGTCCCATAACATTTGCTATGATTGACCATTTCATGTACCGTTAACGACGTGTAATACTATGCCGCGAGTACTTCAAAACGATATTAAGAATGTAATATTTCGATTTCGTTTGATATTCCGTAATGAGTGTGAAAATGAACAAAAAAACATAAGTAAAAAAAAATTTCATTTCTCTCTCTGTGCACGGAGGTATTGGCTTTTATTTAAAAAAATAAGAAAAAAATAAGAGGACTCCATGTAGGGAGACTAAGATATATATGTGTGTGTGTGTATATATATAAGTTAATATTTAATCTAAAGTAATATTTAGATAAATTTAATTTAAAAAATTCAATATTACTATAAAATTAAATATTGTCTGAAACTATTAGATATATCCAATTATGATGATATAGCTTCTTCTTTTTTTCTATATCTATAATAATGTAAAAAAAAATTCATGCAGTCTATGCACAGATGAACGCGTCGTTTTTGCTCCTCACTTGGAAAAAAAATGAAATTTTAAATAATTGAAAAAAAAATTACGTCATACTGAATAATTTTTTTGAGCAAAATGATGTATTGAGAAAAATGTTGCGAAAAAATAATAAATAGTAATAAAAAAATTGATTTTTTAAAGAAAAACGACTTATACGCATTTTTAACACATACATTTAATGTCCGTTTAACTATTTTCGATATTTATTTAGATCATTCGATATTTCTACGATATAGTTTTCAAAATGAGTTTCGAGAGAATGTAAAACATTTATGATTCGTACAATCGTCGACGAATTTTTAAAGTTAGCTTGTTATCGAAAATTTCGAAATAGTAATAAAATAATTGATTTTTTTAAGAAAAATGACTTATGCGTATTTTTTAACACATACGTTTAATGTTCGTTTAACTATTTTTTATTTATTTTTAAATATTTGTGTTGTTTACATTATAATTTTTTTTTCAATTTAAAATTATTTTCTCTTAATAATTCCAAACAGAAACTTAGTTTTGATTTGTATTATAAATAATTTTTCTTTTCAACTTAAAATTCTTTTTTAACTTCTTTCTCTTTAATTTTTTTACTCACAAGTAAAGTTTTACCTCTTAAAAATATTTTCTATCTTAGATTATTAGTATTTTTATTTTTTAATAATTTCAGATAATATTTAATTTTATAGTAATAAAATATATAAAAAAATTTACTTTAAAATATTTTATTATATTGTAAGAAACTGTTGCAACACGTAATTTTCATACCTCCCACCACTTCATGCTCAATTTATATATTTTTTTTTCAATTTATAATTCATTTCTCTTAATAATTCCAAAGAGAAACTTAGATTTGAAAATTTTTTTCTGTGTAGTTTTACGTTATAAATAATAGTTTTTTCAATTTAGAATTCTTTTTAATTTTTTTCTTCAAATTTTTTATTATTAATCAGTATTTTTTAATAGTTTGAGATAAAATTTAATTTTCTAGTAATAATTCAATATATAAAATGATGAAAAAAATATATTCACTCCGTGCATGGAGAAAAAAAATTCTGTCATACCACATAATTTTTTTGAGCAAAATGATGCATTGGGAAAATTGTTACGAAAAAAGAATAAATAGTAATAAAATAATTGATTTTTTAAAGAAAAACGACGTATACACATTTTTAACACATACGTTTAATCTCCATTTAACTATTTTCGATATTTATTTAGATCATCTGGTATCTCTACGATATAGTTCTCAAAATGAGTTTCGAGAGAATGTAAAACGTTTATCTATTCGACTATCGTACAATCGTCGACGAATTTTTAAAGTTAGCTTGTTATCGAAAATTTCAAAATAGTAATCAAATAATTGATTTTTTTAAGAAAAACGACTTATGCGTATTTTTTAACACATACATTTAATGTCCGTTTAACTATTTTTGATATCTATTTAGATCATTCGATGTCTCTACGATATAGTTCTCAAAATGAGTTTCGAGAGAATGTAAAACATTTATCAATTCGACTATCGTACAATCGTCGATAAATTTTTAAAGTTAGCTTGTTATTGGAAATTTCGAAATATAGTTTGAAAATGCCTACTTTGACGTCCCATAACATTTGCTATGATTGACCATTTCACGCACCGTTAACGACGTGCAATACTATGCCGCGAGTACCTTAAAACGATATTAAGAATGTAATATTTCGACTTCATTTGATATTCCGTAATGAGCCTGAAAATAAACACAAAAACATAAGTAAAAAAAAAATTATTTCTCTCTCCGTGCACGGAGTCCTTTCTCTTTTTTTCTTTTTTTTTCCCTCCGTGCACGGAGAGATTTTTTTTTGCTATATAGTTTTACGTTATAATTTTTTTCAATTTAAAATTCTCTTTAATTCTTTTCTTTTCAAATTTTTTACTTACAAGTAATATGTTGTAAAAAAAATTTATGTCGCATATTATCTCTATCTTTTTTTTTTATATATAAAAGTAATTTTTTTCTTATATCCCTACTATATATATCTATATCGGAGTGGGGAAGGAATGAAAATTCCATGTTGCAGTGAATTTAGAAGTAGTGTATAATAAAATAAAATATATTTCAAGCAAACGGCGTCGTTTTTTGCCCCCAATTGAAAAAAAAAAACAAAACAAAAATGCTACAATAAAGATGGATCAAGACACTGTTGTTTTCTACAGTACCCTCACATTCCCCTTTTTATATAGTAGGGAAAAGTGTTGACTATACAAGGATGGCAGTAGCAATGTTCAACTTACAAAATTACCCTTCAATACGATGTATTACCATTTACCCCAAGTTTATAATTGAGAGGGCATTGTGGTAATTGGAAGATGAGGAATCGGGGTATTTTGGACCATATCATTTCCAACGACTTTTTTCCCATTCCAAATGCTCCAACATGTGGACAAGAAAATGTTATTTTTAAAGTTAGGGGTCTACTACTGTAAAATGTAAAATCTCATTAAAATTGGATTTTTAATGCGTTCCAAACTGGGGCTCAATGCCTTAATTGCAATGTCTATTTCACTTCAGAAAAGTGTTGACTGTACAAGGATGGCAGTAGTAATGTTCAACTTACAAAATTACCCTTCAATACGATGTATTATCATTTACCCCAAGTTTATAATTGAGAGGGCATTTTGGTAATTGGAAGATGAGGAATTGGGGTATTTTGGACCATATCATTTCCAACGACCTTTTTCCCATTCCAAATGCTCCAACATGTGGACAAGAAAATGTTATTTTAAAGTTAGGAGTCTACTATTGTAAAATGTAAAATCTCATTAAAATTGGATTTTAATGCGTTCCAAACTGGGGCTTAATGCCTTAATTGCAATGTCTATTTCACTTCAGAAAAGCGTTGATTGTACAAGGATGGCAGTAGTAATGTTCAACTTACAAAATTCCCCTTCAATACGATGTATTACCATTTACCCTAAGTTTATAATTGAGAGGGCATTGTGGTAATTGGAAGATGAGGAATCGGGGTATTTTGGACCATATCATTTCCAACGACTTTTTTCCCATTCCAAATGCTCCAACATGTGGACAAGAAAATGTTATTTTTAAAGTTAGGAGTCTACTATTGTAAAATGTAAAATCTCATTAAAATTGGATTTCAATGTGTTCCAAACGAAGGCTCAATGTCTTAATTGCAATGTCTATTTCACTTCAGTAATGTTATTTGCAGTCGTTCACTGTCGTAGTCGTCCTATGTGACATACATATAACGATTAGTGATTTAATACAATATTGTGATAGTTTTTTTTATTACCTTATGCAACAAATCACTAACCGTTACATGGATGCACATAAGACGATTGTGGTAGTGAGCGACTGCAAATATTATTATTCATTTCCCTTCGTCTAAGAATTCCTACATACACACAACTGAAACCGCCTGAACCAATCAGATTCTCTGAGGTGAATCCACTGGTTGCATTGATCAGCTCCTTCTAAGTTAGCTTAGGATAGATGCCGCCTAATGAAGAAACGGGGATCAATTTGCAAATGAGACAATATGACAGGGGACCAAACTTGCAATCTTATAGTAAAATTGCATTATTTTACAATACGAGTAGTTGCATACCAAGATAGTGCACCCAATTGAGAAAAAATTGGAAACTCTTAAAGACGTAAATGAATTAAATACACAAGGATTTTCCAAATGGGTTCCTGTGGATTAGTTCAACAAGATTGATTAGCTCATGAATTTAAGATATGTCATGTTTATAGCAATAAAACAAGAAGAATTTTTTTTTTCAAAATAAGTTACGTCATATTCGGTAATTATCATTGTCACAAGTCCTCATAATTCATTATTGATGGACTCTCGATAGAGAAAGCAACTTTCTCATGCAAATTCGGTCACTTTTCTTTCAAAACTAAAATATTAATTTTACTAGAACAAAATTCAACAAGATTAACACGCAGAGGCATTGACAAAATTTGTGAAATTGTTATGTTTAGTTATATTCAGCTTACCAGTGAAAACACTGAATGGTATAATGTACATGAATATGAACCAGATGTAAAAACCTGTATTTTGAATCATTTGTACACATTTCTTCTTCCCATGGCTATATTACACTAAAGTGAAATGGAAAAGTGGAACAATAAGCCCTTTGTTTTTATCAATTTCAGCAAAAAGAGAGTGCCATATACAATTACAGGTTGTTGAACACAGTTCCAAAATGTATGCTCAGATGTTGTCAAGTTATTTGCAGTTATTACGATTCAGTTTCTGCTGGTTTTTGACTCGATGGGCACTTCCTCCAGATAAGAGGATTTATCATGAGCAGATGCTCTCAAAGGGCCAGGATTTGTAAATTGCACCAAGATCATGGTCATGTTGTCGCAACCCTCGCCTACAGCAGTAGATGGTGCCAGACACCGATCGAGTGCTTTTTCACAGACCTTGGAAAGCTTAGTTTCCTGCATGCGCAAGTTTAGAATGTCAAACGTTATAATCAACTAAGAAGGTTAGCAAAAGCAGGTTTCCCAAATTAAGGGCGTTTTTTGCGGAGCTTTTAAAAAGTCAAAAGCTACTTCTAAGACTTAAAAGATACTTTTGCACATTTTTGGATAATTTTGTTGAAGGGCTAGGTGGCGTTAGAAAAGATTCTAAAGGAAGTTGGTCTAGGTTGGCTTCCTCAAGTAGCTCTTTTACAGAAAGAAGGAGCAAAAGCACTCCAAACGGGCCCTAAGAGTCTCATGTGACTCTAATTTAACAGGTTTGGGAATCTTAAACCTCCTATTCTAGAAGGAAGAGTTAACTAAAATCAAGCTTCTCCGAAGCCAGAGAATGATTAAGCCTCCGATTGGCCCCCATTTTTTGAAATGTAAATGGGTGGAATAGTTTTTTTTTTTTTTTTTTTTTTTTTAATCTGTCCATACCAATCTGAATTTGGTAAAAATATGAAATAACCGAGCATTTCTTCACATTTAAATTTCAAAATACACAACAAAAGTGATGACTATAGACTTACAGATTTCAGCTGCTCGTGAATAAAATCTACTAGCTGCTGGCTTGACATGCAATCCCTAGAAACCATTTGGAAAAAGGCAACTTGATTTGTCAGATATATGAAGTATTGTATCTCTATAAAGTATTTTACCTAGAAACCCATTATCACAAATATTACGTTAAAGGAAACTTACTAGAAAATAATTAATGAAAAGCCTCATAAAGATTCAGGAATCTACCAGTTTGCACATAAGTCAGGGATAACAATATAGCCACCCACAAGTTACATAGATGGTAATACATACTACAATGGTCAAACGCAAGTACCAAAAATGGAAGGCAAAACAAAAACTTCAAATATCAAAATCTCCAACTTCCTGCACAATGTAGTTAGAATGCACAAATGTGAAAGCGAACTAATAAGAAAGAAAAATACAGAAGCAATCTCACTTGAAAAATCCCTTTCTCATGCATAATCTTGACGGAAAAATCATAAAAATCTATGAGAGATGACAAGGGGTACAATGGATCAGCAATAAAGTCTATACCTATCCGTCTATGGGCACTAATGCATTAAAGGGTGCACCAAATGTTCAGAGTTACAGTGCGAAGGGAACAGAAGATTGTAAGTGTCATGAATCAGCTATTCTACAAAGGGGTGAAAGATAGACTTCAATGCATATTTCTCTTTTCTGGTCCAAGCTTAACCAACAGGATTCATCTAGGGAGTTCTACTGATTGGGGGGGGGGGGGGGGGGTGGATTGAAGTAGACTCAGCCTCAGATTTCAATTATAGATAAATATTTTTGGTGAGAGATCTGAGCATTGAAACTGTAGACTGTAGAGAGGAGACTACAAGAAAAATTCCACGTTTGCAAGAATTTAAATTTATTCTTTATTCCAATCACTATAGGCCCCATAACCAATCCACAGAAAAATCAAACCACATTGGCTACATTCAACTAGTCATTTAATCAGCCTATGTGATACACCTACCATTATTTTGTCATATGGCAAGAAAACCCATAGTATAAGCTTTCATTCAACGTGGTTTAACATGTTATGAGTAAATAGATTCTCAAATATGTTTGATTTAAATGCTACCCATAATTTACCCAAGATATAGCATATTCTACAGCATATAAAATTATGAACTGAAATTAAATTGCTCTAGATATCTTATAATCCAAACACAAGCGAGAAATCTACCACTAATAAACAAGCATATGGAGCCTAGGAAAACAGGTAATAATTTCATCCCAACTTGAGTTGAGAGTGAAAGTTTAAAATCAAATTTTAGCTTTACTATAAGCAATTATTTTACAATCTAATCTTATTGAACCCAAAACAAGAGTTTGTGTGCACACCAGATGCCATCACAGGCAAGGACAATGAACTCGTCATCATCGCAAAGTTCTACCTGTCAGAGAATCGACAAAAGCCAATAATATTATTAAAAGCAAGATGTGACAATAGTCTGTCTTCCCATTCTAATTTTATAACAGCAGAAGAGAAGATATCAACATTCCTCTGCTCAAATCATCTTGTGACCAATTATTCTCATTTGATTAATCTATTATCATTTTAATTTTCCCAAAATTAGAAGGATAGTAAGAAACAATTTTACAGAGAAAACAAAAAGATGTCATGGTTTGTTTCATTTTTAGCCATATATATTATCCTGATAATAATCTTATATTTCAGAGATTAGTAGGTACATTAATTTATAAAAAATGTGAAAAACTTTACCAAAATAATATATCGTATAAATAAACACATCCTGATTGAAATGTCCATTTCTCCACTCAGCTGTTTCTCAGCTATGTTAGAACCGGTGGCAAAGCAGTTAGTTATAAAGCAAAAAGCAGAGTCTAAATGTTCTTTTTACTTAAAAATGCAGAGATAAGCTCATAGAAAATGCTAATCCAGTCACATAAGAAATACAAAGAAGATAGATACATACAATATTTACATCAGGATTGGCAGTTACAATTTGCTTTTCAGCAGGTAAAAACTTGTTCTGCTTGAATTCAATGTCACCTGCAGCAAATCAAAATACTGATCATCATAAACTACATTTTCTTCTGCCAGATTGAGCCACTGCTCAAGTTAAGCACTAAATGTGTCCATTTTGATTCAGAGAATAGATCCACTATGAATCAAGTTATAATGGATCAATTAAGCATTCGTAGCAGGAGAAGACCAACACTTTTTGCACAAAATTCAAAATACTTATCAAAAACCGGAAAATAAAGACCTAATAATTAATACACACACACACACACAGCCAAGCTGATATAGTACCAATAGCTCTTGCAAGATTGAGACTGCCATTAACACGTCCTGCATGGATAAAACCACCAGCTTCTAAAATTCTCTCTTTCTCGACCTCAAGATCAGGCTTGTGGTCTCTTGAAAGGTTGTATGCCTGCGTGACAGCCATACACAATTATTAACAAATAGTTGGTCTCAGTACAATAATAAACATGAAAAAAAAGATAAACACATGAAAATATATGTTGTATATTTAGTATTCTCAAATACCATGGGACAAGAAACAGAAGTCTGGCTACATTAAAACATCCATTTAGGTGCTCCTTCCCCTGAACCATTTACACAAAAAACAATAAAAGAATTTTGTTATACTGCATAGTACCTGACCACTCCTAGAAATTACACACCGAGAATCACCAGCATTTGCTACAACAAGTTGATTGCCCCTTAGGACTGCAACGCAAGCTGTGCACCCAGAAGTAGGTCCAGAAAAATCAGAATGTGGGCCCTGTCAACAACACCCATAACTTTGGAGGATACAAAATTTCGAGCAGCAACAATTATTTATCAACAACCTACTCATCGTGTAGCGAAGGATGGTGAGGATTTAAAATACGATATCATAAATTATGTGCCGTAATTTTTTGAATAATTCGACTAGCGACACTGAAGTCCCTATTTGCCAATTCGAAGAATCGTGGTGAAAACATGCAATGTAAACATAGTCACCAAATTACAGCATAAGTATCCCACTGATGCAAGTAATCACCTCCTCAAATGCCCAATCATCAACTTGGTAATTTCTGTCTCCACTTCTTGGAGACCATATCAAACCCTCGAGCATGCCAGTGAACTTGTTTATTTTGTCTCCCAGAATGGCCAACTCCCTCCACCCTCTCTGTCCACGCATCATCTCATCCATTCTACATTACAAAAAATGTTAAACCTCAAAACAAATATTACTATAAAATATATATTCAATTTAAGCAACAATCTGTGTATAGAATGAAAATAGTGTCAAAATAAAGTAATATAATTCGTATTAAGGATTCGTATCAAGATCTCGGTAAAAATTTGAATAGACAACCTCTATAGCAGCCAAGGCCACTAGTCAGGCGTTGTGAAACCAAAATCCAATAACATAAAATATAAGCATATGAAAGAATATCATTCACAGTGAAGTGGCGATATCAGTCAGCATATTCCATTTAGAAAGCGATTTCCTGCCTGACTCTGCTGAGAAGTTTTAACTTACAGTACCCTTCTTTTTTAGAGGGAAGAATGCAAAAGACACAAGCATAAAGATGTATGTCTGAAGTGTATCTATAGGTGAAAAGAAAAAGAGATCGTCGTGTACATGAGAGAAGCAAGTAGGTCAACCTCTTTAAAATATTGAACATGACTTCTGGCAATGTAATGAAGTTGGACTCTCATCTCAATCTGGATGAAACATCCTCTCAACGGAGGTTTTGAATTTTTAGATTAATTTTATATAAAGTGAGGAGAAAAAGGGCTCGTCGTCGACATGAGAGAAACAAACCTCTTTAAAATATAGAACATGAATTTTGGCAATGCAATGCAATGCAATTGGACTCCCAGGTAATTCGACTGAAACATCTTCTCAACGGCAGTAGATCTTTTTAATTTTTAGATTAATAATATATCATCTCCATACTAAGTCACAATGATAATATCCTGATATAGCATTTCTAATTTTTCACAGATGGAAAAAATGAAAAGGTAATTGAAGAACATTGTACTACAACTGTGGTGTGGGAGTGTGAACAATGGCACCGCTTTATCTTAATCATTAGGATTACCAGCTTCATCATAAGCTCGGGCATGAAAACTATTCAAATATATACATAGATAGACTTCCAAGGGAGTTCTACACAACTTAGGTAAATAAACGCTTACTTGTCAATTGCGTATCTTTCAAACTTTTGTGAACGTGTTGCTCATATTTTTTAACTAGTCTTTCAGATAGAAATTTCAATCTCATTGTATGCGGAAACTTGTTTATTGTTATTTTAGCTGTTTCTGGATACCATCATGTCAGCTTCTATTCGGCATTTTGAAGATACTTCCAAGGTTGTCACCTGGATTGCAACCATTGGATGGCATTTCTACTAAATATTTAGTGACCAAATGATCTACAAGAATCCAACTAATGTCAAAACATGAAGATGGTGACCCTAACTATTTGTACAAGCTACTTCACCAGTTCTTCATGTAATAAGAAGACAGACAAGATGTAGAACCCCGGAATTTTACGAGTTTTGCACATACAATTTATTTGCTCATGGATCAAATTGCCATGTCTAATCTAGTCGCTATACAAATCAATTTGTCATGCCCAATTGTTAATTAAATATATTAGGAGATCCTGAATAGTTGAGGGGCCGAAGTGAAAATAAATATTAGATTTTATACTTTTATTTATTTAGGCCAAATAGTTAATTATTGAATGAGTTAGAAATACCCCATCAATATTAGGATCATTTCAAAAGTCGTCTAAATGGTGAATTATGGATTCAAGAAAAAGTCAATTTGATTAATCCAAATTTGAGTTAGAGCCAGTTTAAAAAAACTAGTAAGTGAATAATATTAGTTTTAAATTTAGACCAAATTACCATATCAATACTGAGCTCGTTTGATAGCTAGTAATTAATTGCGTATATTAGGTTTGAGGAAAAATTAATTTGCTTAAGATCAAACCAAGTTAGAGACGATCAAAGATTATAATTAAAGGATTTTTAGAGCATTACTTTCATTTAGTTAATCAGGTCACATGGTCAATTAAAAAGAATTCAGAATGAATTACCTTTTGTTAATTAGAACAACAAACAAAATCTTTATCCCATTTTATTTATATTATAATCAATTTATCACTGAACCCATTCAAAGTCAGTCAGTAATTCATATTAGATTCATAATAGAAACTCCATTTTTACTAGGTCACATGTATATATATCACATGAAAGTCTAGAAAGTTACATAATGGGTTTGATCGAGTTTGGACAAACTCTATTAGCTTAGAATATACCCAAATCCTATATGAAGTGGTTAAATCCTGCTTAACTCTTCAATCATTTTACATGGAGGCAAGAGATTTGCAGTGTTACGTCACTTTATTTTTTCCTCCAGTAAACATACTTAGTAATTCATCCGTCCCGATCTCTCTCTCTCTCTCTTTCTCTGCTTCTCTATAGCACGCACAAATATACAAATAGAATATTGATTTTGCAAAGAAATGGGGGCCTCGTTTATAGTCTTTGGATTTGCAATAAAGAATCTTGTTTCCTACAATTTTGTTCTCCAAATTCAATTTTAAAAAGTGAGGTGCTCAGTCTATTATTGGCTTGTCTACATCTTTTTAAATATATAGTTATATATGAATTGAATTACTTTAGTTCGAAGGTCTTTCGGGAAAAATCATGATACAGTTTAAGGTTCACCTCTGGATAGCAATTTAGCCTTCCTGCTATTTAGCCCCCTTTGGCTCCATTTTATTCAAAATACATATTTCTCTCTAGTCTTTTTAGTACACATTTTCCAATAAAATAATACTACATGTAATTTCAAAAATTTTCCTTCTTTTTTAATCATGCATTCTGTAGAAAATCATTATTTCAAAATATATTTTTCCCAAAATTCGATTTTAATGAAGCCCAAACAAGGGTTTAGTAGCGCTTGCTTAAATTATCATTTTAACGATGTGACAATCTCAGTTTATATTGGTAAGAGAGAGTTTATGTACAATTTCATGTTTGGTTTGAATGTGGAATAGCAAATATCTTATTTTGTTTATATTTGTTATACCCGTCCCTTCTATTTACAATTACAAGTGAAAGTTAGCATATTGTACAACAACGGATAGATATGCCATAGGACCAATGAATCCGCATCAGGTAGTACTTTTAACTTGAAATAATAGAATTTCTTAAGAATATTTTAATTTTTCAAACAGATTTGTTTATTTGTTGATAATAAATTCATTTTGGAGTAATATTATAATTTTAATTAGTCAGAATTTAATTGCGTGTCAGAACTAATTTTAGTAATATTTTGATGAACAATATCATCACAAAACATTTCAAATGATTTAATAAATTAACTTAATTTTTTATAAAGTTCTAAAGTTTTATTGAATATGCATATCATATTGAAATCTATTTTTTTTAATTAAAAAGTTAAGAAATTCATGTTTGGTAACGAGTCAAGTTACTAGAATTCGCGGCATTACACAAGAATTAATTGTAATATTCTAACACAATTGCCTAAATCAAAATAGGTTTGCTTCTCTTAAAGTAAGTTGCAAGTATCTCATGACAAAGCTGTTGAAAATAGTTATGCCATTCAAAGAAGACCTATTATATAGAATTCATCATTTAAAAGAAAACATGCATATACTGAACACAAACAGAAACTCTTAAATACTACCAGAGACTAGAAAATGACCTGAGAAAAGCTTTCTGAACAGAAGTACCTATGTCACCAGTCAAATATGCTTCATGCTTGAGAACTTGCTGATGAAGATATTTAGCACAAAATTTAGCAACCACCTTACCTGTGAAATTCAATGCATTGATAAGAGAACAATAACGCACTGACCAGACAACAAAGAAATTGGGTAGCAAAACTTGATTTAGAGCAAAACATTATTTCTATTCAAACTAATTATAATCTTTAATGGATCTGTATTGCGACTTGTGAGTACAAGATCTCAAGACATAGATTATGGTATACAAATGCCTACAGTCAACACTTCATCTTTCTTTTGCCTATTCATAGCTTTTGAATCATAGGTATATGTTAAGGAATGCCAATTTGTATTCAAAATATTCATGCCATGGTAAATGGCATGCACCCTAATTTAGTATGCAATATAATAACAGTAGAAGTAGAAAAACTTACCCCCATGACCATCATAAACACCAAAGAATGAGGTGGAAGCATCCAAATCAGTAAGCGCTGCATGCTTGAGAAAAACAATAAGACCATAGGTTATTCAAGGTAGTGAATAATGCATCTCATTATTACAAAATTTGCATTATAATATTATACAACTGTCTTCCCTTATTTTCTTTCTTGCACTACTACACTTGCAAGCTCCCTCTCTCGAGCAGCCTAGGTGCCCATGCACTCTATTAGGAAAATGTCTATATTGATTAAATTATCAAATTGAAATTACAAATAGCCTACATTGATCTCGAGCAACCTCTCGCAACATCGTTCAAATTACCAAATTGAAATTATTTATTAATAAAATGGCATGGAAAACTTGAAGAAAGCACCACATGTTGAACACTGGAAATACAAGTTCAGAACCCCAATTGAACAAGGGCTCTCTTCTAGCTTTACTTCATGACTGGGGGAAAGGTTAGACTAATCTCACAGATGAATATCCAAATCACCACTAAGCCCTCGACTCACGCATGACAAGCCAAAAGATATGCAACTCAACCAGAAACCCCTATGGTAAGGCAGAGACAGACACCTATGTAGATTCTTTTGTTTGACCATTCCCATCTTGCTTATGAAAACAATTGCTAGAACTCTCATGGATTTTAGGAAGAACGTGTCACGCAACAGACATTTAAGTATGAAGAGAATGTAATCTCAGATGAAGCAGAACGTGTATGACACCTAACTGTTCTAAGGGGAAGGAATCCCCACATTGATGTCCTAACCCTTGTTTAAGATCATTTGCGCATATATTACACCAGCCTAACTTATCAACACACTAAATCAACTAAATCTGATGGCATGTGCCGAGCGTCAAAAATATAATGAAAGCCAAATCACCAATCCACCAGCTTTCGCATTAAACCATTTCCGGTGTTATTCGTTCTCATCCAAAAACTTGCTAAATACTAACTAGCAATGAAACAATAAGCAAGCAGCATACTGCATTCAACAAGTTCACGGCAAAAAATGCATCAAATATCGTAATGAACAAAATTTGAGTGATTACTTACAGCATCTTCCATTGTAGCACGCCATCCTTGCATGGATGATAAGCCATATCTAAGCCTACTGTTCACACCATCTTCAGAAAATTTCTCTGTTTTAGGAGCACTGAGGTATATACCCATCTATAACTGAAATCAAGAAACAGACACAATCACAAAGTCATTCAAAGGAATAGATCTTTAAAGACGAGAAATCTGGAAACAGAATTTTTACTCATTCAACTACTATAAGTTCAGAATCCTAAAGCCAAGCTATCCATTTCAATGCTCGAAAAGAAGCCCGAAAATAACAACATCTGATTATTTGAAAGTTCCTTTTTCAAGACGTAGTACAAATACAATCAGCAATTAAACAGAATGAATGGCAAAAATATACAAACCGATAATTACGAGACATGATCAAGATCAAGATCGAGAAAATATATTTAAAAAACCCGTGTAAAAAATAATACGAATGGATACAAGAATAAAGGCAAAAGATGCAAAGAGATCAATGGAGGATTTTATAGCATACACTGCTTACATGCCCAGTCAAAAATCGCTCGATTTTCTGGATCTTGATATAGAAAGAGGCTAAATGGATTAAAAAAATAGAAATATCAGGGAAAAGCCAAAACAGGGCTTCAGATTTTTGACAGAGAAATATAACGGGACTGAAGATAAAGATGAGAAGAGAGAGTTGCAGTGTGAGAAACGAGAGAGACCTTTTATGACTGGAAAAGGGCCGGAGACTTTGAGGGTATTAATTAATGATCAGATGAATTCTGTGAATATATTCAGGTGAATGGTGATTGTGCAAAATTCCCATAAAAGATGGGTTAATAATTAATATGTAATTAGCACAAAACATTTCTAACATTCGATATTTTTATAGAAAATGTTCATACCTTTCGTTTTTTGACGGATTACACCCTCACTTTTACTTTTTTTTTTTGCGCAAAACGTCATTCTGTCAACTTCCCGTTAAAATGTTCCGTTAAATCAAAAGGCAATTAGTACAACAGATCCCTACCTTTCAATATTATTATGCAAAATATCATCACCTTTCATTTTTTGGGCATAATTAGCACAAAAGGTCCCTACCTTTCAATGTTATTGTGCAAAACGTCCATACCTTTAATTTTTTAGCATTTTCACATCTACTTTTCACATTTTATTGCGAAAAATGTCATTCTCATCCATTTTTTCAATAAAATGACGATTTTACCCTCCTATTCAAATAAAACAAAAAGAAAACGTTCATACCTTTCGTTTTTGACGAATTACACCCTCACTTTTACCTTTTTTTTTGCGCAAAACGTCATTCTGTCAACTTCCCGTTAAAATGTTCAGTTAAATCAAAAGGCAATTAGTACAAAAGATCCCTACCTTTCAATATTATTATGCAAAATATCATCACCTTTCATTTTTTGGCATAATTAGCACAAAAGGTCCCTACCTTTCAATGTTATTGTGCAAAACGTCCCTACCTTTAATTTTTTAGCATTTTCACCTCTACTTTTCACATTTTATTGCGAAAAATGTCATTCTCATCCATTTTTTCAATAAAATGACGATTTTACCCTCCTATAAATGCTTCGCATTTTCCATCTTCCATCTTCATCTTCATTTTTTTTCGAAACTAATTTGCTGTCATTGCTTGGCATTCTGACAATCAATCCGATCCGAAAATGGACTGTTTAGTCCGCCCATTTTACTATTTGCCTTGATGTCACCTTTGGTGTGGGAGGTATAGGAAATATTTTCTGGCCAGCAGCGAAGTTTTTACCATCGAAGTTCTTCCCATCGTCTCTTTATCCTTTACAAGGAGTCGATGATAGAAGACAATTTTTGGGATGCTTGCAGGCCACTTTGCTTGCTGAGAGTGCTTCTCAACTTGCTTGCTAAGAGTGCTTCTCAGTCTCTTTGCTCGCCATTGCAGCGATGCATTTAGGAAGGTGGTGAGGTCAGTCCACCCTCTTACTCGGCGATCCCACCATTGCAGCGATGCATTTAGGAAGGCGGTGTGAGACTTACTCAGCGATCAACCGGGAGATTAGCTTACTTTTAATTGTATTTTGTAGAGTATCCATTATTTGTATTTTTACATTTGTGTACGGAACGTTTGATAATAAAGGATTTCATTTGAACGTATTTCGCTCTGACCTTGTTATCCTTTAATCGTTCAATATATTTGATTATGATTTTATCTGTTCACATTCCCATAAAGAAGGAACATATTTTTTCAAATATTTGCCGTTAATGAATCTCACGTGCTTGGTGTCATCTAAATCTTCCAAGTGATACGCTCCATTGGGCAACACACTGTTTATTTTGTATGGTCCTTCTCAATTAGGCGACCACTTCCCGTACTTTGGATCTTTGCTATCCAAAGGGAGTATCATCTTCCAAACTAGTTCACCCAGGTTGAACGACTTGGCTATGACTTTTTTATTATAAAACTTAGCCATTCTTTGTTTTTGAACTTGCAATCTATCTAAGACGTCCAACTTTAATTCGTCTAACCCTAATAAATTTTGAACTAGTGATTCGGCATACTCATCATCAGTCAACTTATGTTGCAAGCACACTCTAATCGATTGCACGTTGATTTTCATAGGCAAAACGGCCTCCTGTCCATAAACAAGTTGGAAAGGAGTAACTTTGGTACTTGACTGAGGTGATGTTCTATAAGCCCATAAGGCCTTGTTCAGATATTCGTGCCAATTTCTGGCATTTTCATCTATCATCTTTCTGATGATATTTTTAGAATCTTATTAGAAGATTCCGCTTGTCCGTTGGATTGAGCGTAGTATAGTGTGGAGTTTACTAATTTAACCCCAAACTCGCTCAAAAATTTGTTCACTTGATCCCCATTCAAAGATTTTCCGTGATCTACCATTAACGTTTGTGGAATTCCAAACATATAAATAATGTGATCACGGATAAACTCTATAACATTATTCTGGGTGATCTCTTTCAAAGGTACCGCCTCTACCCATTTGGTGAAATAGTCGGTTGCAACTATAATAAAAGTATGTTGCTTGGACGATGGGGGATAAATCTTCCCTGTCAGGTCTATCGTCCAACCCTTGAAAGGCCAAGGTTTAATAATAGGTGTCATCTCTCGTGCTGGCGCCCTTTGTATTGGACCATATTTTTGGCATGCTAAACAACTCTTTGCATACTGAACGCATAATTCTCCCATCTTTGGCCAAAAATATCCACTCCTAATAATTAACCATCTCATCCTTTGGCCAGCTTGATGAGCTCCACATATCCTTTCGTGCACCTCAGCCATGATCGTCTTGGCTTCTTGCAAACTTACACACTTTTGTAATACACCATCAGAGCGTTTCTTAAACAACTCTTCATCTATTAGTGTATAGTTCAGTAAACACAGCTTTATTTTCCTACTAATCCCTCCATTAGATTCTTTAAGGAACCCTTTAATCTCTGTTCTCCAATCCATTGCATCTCCATCTTGTATGCAGTGAAGTTCAATCTTTCTTGTCTTTCTTTGAGTCACGGGCAATATGATTCCATACTCACAAGTAGACTTCCAATTCAAAATCTTTGAGTACCCTGAGGCCATTT